CCTCTCCCCTCCCAAAATGGCAGTGCCAGGGCTGTGCCCACGTTCTCCTATTGCTGAGCCACCAAATCCATCCCAGTCTGGAGCCCCAGGACTCATGTTGGGGCTGTTCCCACCACAGCTGGTCTCCCAGCCCAGCTGCCATCCCTATGCAGGAGCAGCACCCAGTGGGACAGGGGACACCAAAACTCTTCCATGGTGCACGATGTCTAGGAGATATTGCTCAAAAACCCTCCTAACTCCTTTAGTGAATCACCAGAGGAGCATTTTGCTAAACAGAGCGATCAGTCAGACCAGCAATCAATCACCCCACCGCAGATGCTGGGACCTTCTAAAATGTGGTTGATACCCCACTGCAGTGCTTGGACCTCATAAAACGTGGCTGACACCCCATTGCAGATGCTCAGAGAATGACCCAGTGTCCAGCAGCGTTGCATGCAGCTGCTAATTTGTACATTAACGGGTAGATTTAGTCCCTTTTGGAGCTCTCTGCTCTTCTCTCCACCTCCGTGAAGCAGGCCAATAGGTTTAGCGCTATTAACAAGGCTGACAGCACATTTTAAAGTCTTGCAGCCTTAAAAAATGCAGCTAAACCACCATCTGAACTGCCCCACCTTGCCCTGGACCAAGAAGGAATCAAACTAAATGACCACAGGTGACCCTAGAATCCCTCCCTGCCTCCAGTTCAGCCCTAAGGCCATGGAAAGAGCCAGTATTAATGAGTCCCCTTTGGCTTCCTGGCCTACTCAGAGGACAGGCTGTGCTCCCAATGCTTTCTGAGCACAAGGAAAAGGCCTTGGCACTGCTGGAGTGGCAAGTAACCAGGATCCCGATGCGCGAGGTGCAGAAAGGGAGAGGAATTCTGTCTGGATATTCCCTTCTGCCCAGTGCTATCAAACGCAATGAATAATTTACTATCCGATCATCTCTAATCTTCGCCCCGTAAAATCAGTAGCAAGCTGGGAGGGTTTTTGAAGCCTCCAGCTGCATTCACTGATAAGACATGAGGCAGGAAAGATTGGAAACCCATAAAAATGATAATCTCAGGCTTCAGTATAACTTGGTGGAAGGGTTTTCTCCTGTCCTTTCATTAAGGATGGATTTCATGATCTTACTTAAATAACAGCAAGCCTTCTCATGAGGAATCTCCCATCCAAAACCCGATTTCATCATCATTAGGAAATAGGAGGCCAATCAGGCAGAAAAAAAAAAAGTAGCTGGACCGCAGGTTAGTGCAAGGGCCAAGTCCCTGCAGAGCAAACAGCATCTATTATTACAAGGGCAGGGGAAACGGGGCTATCAATCAGAGGTATTTTGTTAATACAGAGCAAAGCTCTAAGCATTAGGAACACTGTCCTAAATGAACAACCCTCCAACCCTTGTTGGTACTTGGCTAATTTATCCTTTGTGTAAAAGCTCTTTGCCGCCTGAGGAGGGAAGGACAAGATCCTACACCCTCCTCTCAGGCACTGCCAGAGCATTCATGACCTCTTTAAACTTTTTTCTAGGTTATAATTCCCATCATTCAAGGTGGGAGTGAGGCTTAGCTGTGCTGGGGTGATGTTCCTGCCTCACACAAGGGGTGTTCAGTCCCTTGGCTCTTGGACCTCCTTATAAAGCAACCACACTGCATCTGTTCATGATCTGAAGTCTCTCACCCAAGGGGAGGAAGATGAGATGGACAGATGATCTGGGGGAGCGTCTCAGATGGTCAGGGTCAGGCTCGGTCATATCCAGCCAAAGAGATGAAGAAGCGACAAGGCAGGGCTTTGCGGGGTGACTGTCCTCCAGTGTATGCCTTGGGGTTGCCTCATCCTAAGCGGCATGGTTGTCTTTTCCCTGGATGGCTGGAGGGAATTTTGCAGGTCAAGGAGGTGGCATGGTAAACCCCTTTCAGTGGCCCACTCAGCCTGAAACCAATATGAAGACCACCTAAGAGACATGGGGCAAAACCCATGGGGCAAAACCCATGGGGCAAAACGATCCCAAACCACTGGCCAAAACCTTAAATGTGAGCCCAGTCACCAAGCAAAGCCCCACCTTCATCGTTCACCTCCTTAGTATGAAGAGGAACATCACATCTTATCCAGCCTGTTTGCGTACAATTGGATTCCAATGAATATGGAAGATGGATGAACAAAGAAAACCCTCTTGCTCATACACGTCCTTCTGTGAGTGTAGACATTATCTGGGAAAAGAACAGAAAGGGAGAAAAAAACAACAGTTCACTAACCATTTATACATGAATCTCAACCAAGATGACCAAGAGGAGGAGAGGGAAGGAGTTGGCTGGTTTAGTTGGGGGCATGGTTTCAGGAAATAATTATTGCAGATACCAGAATGGGAGAAAATTAGAAGTGTAAACTGTAATCAGATGTTAAGTTGCTTTTCTTCTGCTAATTGAAATAATATTTTCCCCACTATCCACCACTCTACCCCTTTCAGATGCTAATCCCTATCAAACATGGACTTACAATTACAAATTCATAGGCATCTTTCCCAGGAGCAGAAATTGCTTTGCCCTGTAACCTCTAAGATGAGGTCTTAATAGGAATTCACGAGCAGTCGCTGGTAAAGCTTCATTAGCCGGAGAGAATAGACAAGGGCAAGTTGCAGTGCTCCCTAACCACTCTAGGGAAAAATTAATTTAAATTACTTTGTAAAGTAACAAGGCCAGATAATGTGTTTCCTTCTTGGATTATTGTTTTCCAACATCCTAATGCGCTCATAGATTAGGTTGCTCTGCCTGTCTTGATGGTGGCCCATACTGACTAAGTTGTGATTTATGGGGAGCAGTATCCTTGGGAGAGAGAAATGCATCTGCTTTGGCTGGAGTTGGATGGAGAC